GTATATCGATGAAGGCCTGAAACAATGCCTGATTCGCAACTCACAAAACCAAACCGCCACCATTTTCAACGACATATACACCCCCGACAACTCCTCCTTCGTGTCCGTCCTACAGCACCCGATCAAGAACACCCGCTTCAATTCCTCGGACACTCCGAAGCCTTTCTCCGTAATAACGCCCAGGGAAGAACCCGAGGTGCAAGCGGTGATCCTTTGCGCGGCGGAGCTAAACTTGCAGGTCCGGATTCGCAGCGGCGGCCATGACTACGAAGGGCTCTCGTACACGACGCCGGCGGAGAAGCAGGTGGCTGATCAGAACCCGTTCTTGGTTCTTGATCTGATCAATTTCAATAACGTCACCGTTGATCCTGCGGAAAAGACGGCGTGGGTCGGATCCGGCGCGACGGTTGGGGAGCTGTACTATAGGATATCGGAGAAGAGTAAAATTCTTGGGTTTCCGGCGAGCGTGTACCACTCCGTTGGTATTGGAGGGCACTTTAGCGGCGGCGGTTACGGGATGATGCTCAGAAAACACGGCCTCGCGGCGGATCACGTCGTGGATGCGCATTTGGTTGATGCGAAGGGGAAGATTTTGGACAGGAAATCTATGGGAGAAGATTTGTTCTGGGCGATCCGAGGAGGGGGAGGGAATACATTCGGGGTGGTTCTTTCATGGAAAGTAGAATTGGTTGATGTTCCCGAAACCGTAACCAGTTTCCACATCGTCAAAACTCCGGACCAAAACGCCACCAACATCTTACACAAATGGCAGTCAATAGCCCCAAAGCTACCCCAAGAACTCTTCATCAGAATAATCGCACTCCCACAGACACCCCAAAACGCCATTCAAGTCATGTTCAACTCCCTGTACCTCGGCCCAGCCGACACCCTTTTTCCAATCCTGCAACAAAGTTTCCCAGAATTAGGAGCCACAAGACAAGACCTGGGAGAAATGAGCTGGATAGAAGCCGTCCTAACCATCGACGGCTTCCCGAAAGGCACAGACCCTAAAGCTCTCACGGGCACTATCATCAACAACGGGAACCCAAATTACTTCAAAGGAAAATCCGACTACGTGAAGACCCCAATCCCCGTGGAAGGCCTGGAAGGGGTTTGGAACTTTCTACGAGAGAACACCTCGGGCTTGCTCCTCATGAGCCCGTACGGTGGAAGAATGGAGGAGATATCCGAGTCGGCGATTCCATTCCCGCACAGGGCTGGGATTCTGTACAAAATCCAGTACGTTATGAATTGGGGCGAGGCAGGGAAGGAGGCCTATGAGACCCACATGAGCTGGACAAGAAGGCTGTTTCAGTACTACACTCCCTACGTCTCCCAGTCTCCAAGAGAAGCGTATGTAAATTACAGGGATCTTGATATTGGGAGAAATAGTATATGCCTAATTCAACCTATGGTGCGCAGTCTGAGAATTGGGGGAACAAGTATTTCAAGAACAATTTTGAAAGGCTTGTTAGAGTTAAGACAGAAGTTGACCCTCAAAACTTCTTTAGGAATGAGCAAAGCATTCCACCCCTTTCACATATAGTGAATTAGTTACGTACGATATTTGGGGTGGTTAGGGTCTTTCTCTATCTGTTTAACGGTACAAGTTTATCCGACTAAAATGACTAGTATGTCACCCGTGTAAATTGTTGTAAAAATATGTGTATATTATTATAATAATATATTGTAAAAATTATATGAAATGAATATACTATTATTTATTAATTGTAACAAATGAGATTTCATTTATAATTTCATATTAAAATTGAATTGAATGCAAAATACATTAAAATTAGAAATTTGGAATATGTGATTAGTAAACGTAATAATCTTTATTAATAGTTGAATAAAAGGAAATGAATATTACAAATTATTAAAAACTATTTTGTAAACAATATTAGTCGTTGAAGTATATATATGTTGTAATTCATTACAAATTAAAAATTTGAGACTCTGTGGATTACTAACTAGAGAAACATATAATCGACATGTACAAATACTGGTCGATTTCTTAAGTAACACTCATAAATGAGTGTTCATTGCATATGAGAACGTTAGTGGGAATTGTCTTTTATTGAACTTCATTAATGACGATCTTAGCTTGGATCTGAAGGAGTCATACTCAATCTAGAAATCAAAGCCCTAGTATTGGTTGCCTGACATTATTTTGGCCTATATGATATGTTCTGACAATCTGGTTACTACCAACCTAGTACCATTGTATAAACCAAGTGTGTGGTATATATATAATATATTCATCAATAACATCACAGGCGATCCAACATTTAAAGTCAATGAATGATTAGGAATGCGAGATGCTTGCAGGCCATTTAAGAACTCAGGTGTGTGCACGTCTATGAGAATCCCATGATTCGTTTCAGTTTGACAAACAATACAGTATCGCAACTCAAGTATGTCCTACTTTCTGCTACATGCATGTTGCTCATGTATTCATTAATTGAATTAACAAGATCAAGTGTAGGTGCCAAATTACATGCTTTTCTAGAAAAGTGTTGTCACAATCTCCATTCTTAAACATCGGAAATGTACTATCAACGATTGTGGTAATCGGGTCACCATTTGAGGGCAACAACAAATCTTTAGGAATATCAACTTCTGGACATTAATCATCACTTGAACCATCACCAATTGAGGCAATCTAATTCACAAATTGTTCAACTTGTTGCATTCAATCCCAGGTTCCATGTTACTCAATTAGAGATTCTTTTTCAATCTTAAAGTGTACACCTACTCTAAAGATAAGAAGAGTTTATAGTTGTTGAAATGATGTCTTGCCTTTTACCTTTTGGAATCACTAGTAATATCAGTTGTACTTGAAGGATTGGAAAACCATAATAAATCTCTCATTGTTCAATCCAAGGCTTCAAAACAGTGCTTGTGCATCATTGGAGCTTCATCCCAAATTATTAACTTTCACTACTACACAGAAGGCCTTTAATGTTGGCTATTTAGGGCTTTTAACGTCAGCTAAAAAGTGACGTTGTTCTGGACGACGTTGTAGAGTAAACATACAACGTCGGTTAAATAAAAACCGACGTATATTTTTTTATTTAATTAATACAACTTTTAACGTCGATTATTACGAAATAACCGACGTTTTATGTATTTAATTTTTTTAAAAAATTAACATAACACGTCGATTTTTTGTTAAAAACCGACGTGTTATGTTATTAAAAAAATTTTAAAAAATTGTGCCTACATCCAGGGAACTGTAGGGATGCCAAAATCATGTTGCTTCTTGCATCTGATGTGTTTGATGTGGAAGAAATCAAATGCAGAGTAATCAGGTTTGAACATTGAATAAATAGAAAATAAGAAATTCTTTATGAGCACTAGATTTTGTACTCAAAATGAAGGCATTGAACAATGGGAGTTCATGTAACATATATTCCCTAGATTAAATAAGCCAACAGAATGACACTGGGAATGAAACATTAAGACCCAAAAAAAAAAAAAAAAAAAACATGCAAGTGCACAAACATGTTTCATAGCAGGGAAAGGATGAGCTCCTTATCTCCATCAACAACATCTTCTGCCATAACAGTAGTTCCATCTTCATCTAGTAATAATAGTACACCAGCCTGCGTCACAGTTAATCCAAAACTTTTTGCAGGTCTGATGGAACCGCCATTTTCTTATTAGAAACCAAGAAATCAGGAATGAGCAATGCAATACTAATAAAAGTTTCAATTGCCAAACCCATAATGATTGTTGGTCATATCAATGACAATAAAACTGAAAATTTAAAAAGCTAGAACAAAAAACAAAAGGAACATAATGTACAAAATTCAGCTGACCATTAAGGGAACAGAATGTACAATTCTCTACCAGATCACTATATAAGGTCCCCAAAAATTCAAAATCATATCTACCTCAACAATAAAAAACTGTAAGTCACTATGAAATATACAAAGAATAGATATTTTATTACAAAAGCAACATAAACAAATAATGCTTAATATATTGAAGAACATGAATACTAAATGATTTGGCTAGTGAGCAAAATTATGAGATATAAGACTTAAAATCTCTAAGAATTTTATTTGCAAGTCAAGCCTTTGTTCACTTACCTTTCTTCACATTATATCCTGATGACTTCAAAAAAGTAACATTTTTCCTCAATTTCATCATACCTGAAACAATAGAACTCCATAAAGGGAATGGAAAAAATTCAATGTCAAAATTAACACTGAAAGACACTACAAAGAACCACCTTTATTTTGACCAGTTGACAGTGGGTTCATCCTTTTTATTGACAACAATGAGGAGCTTTGTAACTCCAAGAGTCTTTGCATGTTTGCTCACAAAATGGACATGATGAAACATTCAATCTGAATATGGAGTTTCTTTAATCATTATGTTCATACAATGAAATTAATTTGCAAACAAAAATACTACTACTTAGAGAACTAAACAATAAATACCAAAAAAAAAAAAGGAAAAAAAAGAGTAGACCAAACACTATTGTATTGAGTCATGGATGTTGTTACTACTCATATCCCTACACTCAGGAAATTACACAAATTTGCAAGATGGCAGCAATATTAACTATGCTGTTACTGCTCATATCCCTACACTCAAGCAATTACACAAATTTGCAAGATGGCAGCAATATTAAATATGTTGTTACTGCTCATATCCCTACACTCAGGCAATTACACAAATTAAACACTAACAGTACAAATCAGATCAAATCAGCTCCAAACTTTGTTGCTCGCAATTTTCATAGGGCTATGGGGTAACTCAAGAGGCTTACAGCATTAAAAAGACGTTTTCATGTGTTATCCAAGTACCAACACTTCATCCACTGAATCGAAGAAATAGTTTTGCAAGTTGATACTGAAATCAGGCTAGACATTGGCAGCCCGTGCTGGCGGTTTACGGGTTACAATGGGTACCCTGAGCGGCACCGAAGAAGGGAGGCATGGCAGCTGTTACGGACTTTATCATCACGGTCCACGTTACCATGGTTAATCATGGGGGACTACAATGATATCCTTGAGCAGTCTGAGAAAGTGGGTGTCAACCAACATCCGAACTGGTTAATAGCTGGGTTTAAAGAGGCGGTGGCCGACTCTGGATTGCAGGATATACCTTTCTCTGGGCATCAGTTTAGTTGGGAAAAGTCGCGGGGCACTGCACATATGGTAGAAGAGAAGTTGGACCGTATTCTGGCTACTGGGAATTGGCTGAACATGTTTGATGGTGCTCGGGCGCAGTCCTTTATCGTACCATATAGTGATCACCTTCCTCTAGTAATAACGCCATCTATCCAGCCGAGAGTTCAGAAGAAAGCAATGTTCTGTTTTGATATTGTTGGGCAGGACATCCTATCCCGTGTGGAGGCGTGTGCAGCTGACATCTCTAAATGGGGGCGTGGTTACAATAGAGAGTTTCAGCCTAAGACTGAATACGGCTTGCTGAGGCTGGAAAGGTTGAGATCGCGGCGTGATATGCCGTAGGAATGCGGGAGTATGACGCGGTGGAGAAGGACTTGCTGTTCTTACTTGAGCAGCAGCAATCATATTAGAAACAGCGGGCGAAAGAATACTAGTACAAGGGGGATGATGTGAATAGTAGGTTTTTTCACAATTCTGTGAAGGCAAGACGACGTAGGAACAGGATTGTGAGATTGCGGGATGACAGTGGCGAGTGGGTGGAGGATGAGAGGGGAAGAGACGAGGTTATGGTAGATTATTTCAAGAATATATTTACTCCGGACTACGGCGATACGCAGGAGGTGATTGATGCTATCTCGCAAAAAGTGACCGATCGTGATAATGCAATGTTATTACGACCCTCTAAGTATGAATGAGGTGGGCACAGCGATTTTTCAAATACACCTGGACAAATCTCGGGGGTCGGATGGTTTTGGGCCTGGGTTTTTCCAGTACTTTTAGCATATTGTAGGGGGCGAGGTAACGGTCTTCTGTAGGCAGTTTTTGGATACGGCAAGGCTACCCATGAAAGTGAATGAGACTTTCATAGTTCTAATTCTGAAGAAGACGTGTCCAGAGTCTATGAAGAATCTACACCCAATCGCGCTATGCAACGTCGTGTATAAAATAGCGGAAAAGATCTGCGCTAGCAGGTTAAAAAACTTGTTGCATAAGCTGATTTCTAGCGCGCAGAGTGCATTTTTCCCGGGCCGCCTAATTTCGGACAATATCATGCTAGCATATGAAGTAAACCACTATCTGAAGAGGAAAATGCAAGGACCTGAAGGAGTTGTAGCCTTGAAGCTTGACATGTCAAAGGCCAATGATCGGGTCGAGTGGCAGTTTTTGCGTGCGGTTATGCTCAAGATGGGGTTTGACAGTCGATGGGTTGATAGTTTGATGGAAGCGGTATCATCAGTTCAATACCGTATATTGCATGATCAGCAGCATCTTGGGCTTATAATCTCGGGAAGAGGGCTTCGCCAAGGAGACCCGCTATCGCCTTAGTTGTTCTTACTTGTTGCTGAATGGTTGAGTGCTATGATTGAAAAGGGAATGGCTCAGGGTCACTTGCATGGTGTCAGTATTGCATAGGGCGCTCCTTCTATTTCCCATCTCCTATTTGTAGATGACTGTTTTCTGTTCCATCGGCCGAGTGTTACCGAGACTATGTGTAACACCCCACTTTTTATAAAACTTAATTACAATTCTAGTGGGAATGTTACCGCCACAACCACCAGTCCGTAGTGATTGCACAGGCTAAGGGTAGAACTAGAAAATCAAATAAATAACTAATCATCCATCAACTTAAATAAGCATAAGGAGGATAAACACACCCTGATGTCTACATCATAAAAAAACATCAAAATATCATAAGTCTAACATCCGATAGATAATGACGTAAACAAGTCATAGAGAGTTTAGACATCTCAATCTAAAAGACTAGTCTAACTCGACCACTTCTCACTGCTGGGCCCACCTGAAAGGGGTTTTACAAGCAACACATAGACAAATAAGAAAACACCCGTTAGCACGAAGCTAAGTATAACCACACTCAACCCTGCAAAGTACTATAGCATATACTTTTGGAAAACATTTAATAACAATCGTATACAGCAAACTCATCTCATAGAAAGCTTTAATCACATCACATACTTTCTATATGCTTGCAACCTATAATATCAACAGGCATGCTTCGGTACCAAGGACTTAACAACTTAGATATTTCAACATGTAAGCGTCACAACAACTTAACAATCGACTCATGCTTACAAGTAATATCATGCTAATAAACCATACAAAAGTTATTCTCATGCTCTCAAGTTCTCATCATGTAACTGGATATACAAGACTTCAAATGTAACTAAGCAATCATGCTCGATACACAATCTTAAATCAACACTCTCATTATGCAATATCAGGTAATACTATACTCACATGCAATCTCGTGCAGTGCTATAAACATACACATATGCAATCTCGTGCAACACTATAAATATACTCATATGCAATCTCGTGCAATACTATACTCGTATGCAATCTCGTGCAATACTATAAATATACTTATATGCAATCTCGTACAATACTATACTCATATGCAATCTCGTGCAATACTATACTCATATGCAATCTCGTGCAATACTATACTCATCATATGCAATCTCGTGCAATGCTATAAACATATGCAATCTCGTGCAATACTATAAATATACTCATACACTCGTTGTAAAAAAATAGAGTACTTTCTGTGGAGGTCTCATTAAGTCATAAATGACTTGCTTTCTTTCTTTCTTTCTTTAGAGTCGCAATGACTCACTTCTTTCTCTCTTAGAGTCGCAATGACTCATTCTTTCTCTTTTGGAGTCTCAATGACTCATACTTTCTCTTTAAATGGACGAGGTAGGAACTTCATCATGTGAATGAACCAATCTGGGCACGGCGTCTAGCCGACCTAATACTCTGCTTGTCCACCGAACCACTCTCTTGGTTTTATGCTCAAACTCTGTGGAATCACGTATCAAACTTTTAGCGTACACACCCCTAACCAGGATTCCAAGCCTGGCGGGCAGTTTCCAACTTCGTAACGTGGGAATACACCGTGTTACATATACTGGGACCGTAATGTCCATAAAATCATCCGAGAGGACATAGTCCAAACGGGGTCGTCCAAAACCTCACCGATATAGATAATACATAAATATATCTCTCATGAATCAATCTCATGCATGCAACAACTCTACAACTTCTCAATGCATCAAATAATGATATACCACATGCTTATGGATTTTTTTAAAGTAATACTTGGGCTCACGTTGGCCCCTTATGCATTTTTGAAATATGATATATGTGAGATGCAAAATACTCTACAACATGCTCCAAATCCATGTATAAAATCCATAAAATTCTCAAGGATATCATATCATACTCGGTTTGCAACATAGCAAATTCTATACAATTTCTATCAACAAAATATGCTTCAAAATTCATGGATCAAATATCACATTTAGTCATGCTTTCATAATAAATCATATTCTCAAGTGATCATGCTTCTCTACTCAACACAAAATAATCATCAGATCACAGAGCAAAATATTTCTCATACACAGTGAACTCAACAATGTATACTGTGTAACAATTTCTTCAATAAAACCATCATAACATGCTCAATTTTTATCCAAATTCAACGAAATCTAAGCCAAAACGTGCGTCGAGACGTTCTCGAGGTACCGAGCCACAAGGGCCCGTGACACCTGGCCCGAGACGACACGTAGCTGAGCCGCAAGGGCCCGGCCACTGCACAAAAACCTTCCAGATTGAAACTCAGGGACCTGGGGCGGGATTCCTCATGAGCCGCCCCAAGTAACCCGTCACATGGCCGGGCCTAGGCCCAGTTAGCCCCGGCTCTAGCCGGCGGCCCTCCTGATGGGCCGCGGCTAGGGTCGCTGCTCTGATCTGGTGCACACTGCGTGTGCACCAGATGGAGATTTTCACCTGTAAAAATTATTCCAAGCATGTCCAAAACATCCAAAACATTCTCAACACTTCAAAGACAAATACTAAATCACTTCCAAGCTTAAACACAACAAAATCTCATCATTTCTGCTCATTTCTACTCAATAAAATAGGCTTCACAGAGCCAAAATCAAAGAGGGAGTCCATGGGGTTATACCTCTTGTTGCCTCTTCTTCTTGTATGGATCTCTACCTCTTCTCTACTCAACACCACCTTCTTCACCACCTAAACAAGCCAAGACTAAGAAACCTCAGAGATTGAAGGCTAAGAGAAGAGGAAACCTTAAGCTAGGATGGAAAATGAATGTTGAAACTTACTACAATCTTTCTTTCTTCTATTAGATAAGAGTATGGGAGAGGCAAGGATGGAGATCAAGGAATAACAAATGGATAGTGTTGTTTATATAGGGTGCAAAACCCTAGGAAAAAGGCCAATGATTGGTTGAGGGCAAAATAGTAAGAATTTGGCTAGAATATGTTCTCAGGCAAAGCTTTTGGGAGGTTGTGGTTCACCTAGCATCATGGACCCAAGGCTAGAAATGCTATTTTAAATACTTTGGGGTTGAAAATGAATTTTCTCAAAAAGTTTTCTAGATGAACACTTGTTTAAAGCTTCTTTGAATTCTCCCGGTTTCACTCAGATTGATTTCTCGATTTAAAACTTGGTACGCGTAATACCCGAAGATTTAGGATTTTGGAATAAAATAAGTTTTTGTGTTGTATTAATTTAAAATGAGTCTAAAATAATTTATTTAAACACCAATTGATCGTAAAAATTTTTAATGGAGTGAAAATGACTATTTTGAAATTTCTTAAAATTGGATTTATAAAATAAAATTTTTGGTTGTTACAGTATGCATATGAGGTATGTGTTAGATATGTATGCTAAAGCTTCTGGCCAGCATGTTAATTACGATAAGTCTGCTATGTGTTTTAGTGCTAATGTGGCCCAGAACATTCGAAACGAAGTGATTGACATTCTAGGGGTGGGGGAGGGTGAGGCGAGCGGGAAGTATTTGGGGCTACCATCACTGGTGGGCAGGAGGAAGAGAGCCATTCTCGGCTTCCTAAAAGATCGTATTCTAACTAGAATTCGTTCTTGGAAAGCCAAGTACCTTTCCCGTGCAGGGAGGGAAGTACTATTGAAGAATGTGATACAGGCAATGCCGGCGTTTGCAATGATGGTGTTTTTGTTGCCCAAGGGATTGTGCCGTGAGGTTGAGACTATTATGAATCAGTACTGGTGGACCGGAAGTGTAGGAAACTCATGGGGTATCAAATGGCGAGCATGGGAGGGGTTGTGCGTGCCAAAAGCAAAGGGTGGATTGGGTTTCCGCAGACTACATGAAATGAATAAAGCTCTTTTGGGGAAACAGGCCTGACATCTTATAACTATGCATACTTCTCTTGTTGCCCATGTGTTTAAGGCCAGGTACTACCCGAGTTGTAGATTATTTGACTCAAGGGAGGGTAGTAACCCGTCTTATATTTGGAGGGGTATGTTGGAGGTGCATAACTGTCTGAAGGAGGGGTGTAGGCGGGCGATTGGCAACGGTGGTGACACTCTAATTGGTACGGACCCGTGGTTGCCGGATGACACAAATCCGTACGTGGAAACGCTACTGCATCCGACTATTCATGCAGCTCATGTTTCTTCTCTGCTAAATACGCAAGGTACGGGGTGGGATGTGGAGTGTGTGAATGATGTTTTTGCAGCCTGTGATGCTAACTTAATTATGAATATTCCTGTTAGTTTGCGTATGCCTCAAGATCGGTGGATATGGCAATGGGACCAGAAGGGTGCTTAAACCATCAAATCTTGTTATAAGAACCTTACTACCGTGGCGGGGGATGATCGATCTTGGGCTAAAATTTGGAGCTTGCACATACCCCCAAAGGTGAAGATGTTCTGTTGACAATTACCATCTGCATATTTGGCAACTAGGGATATCCTTAATTATAAATGTGTTGCATATTCTCTCGACTGTCACATGTGCAGTACTGTGCCAAGCTGCCACCATACCTTACGGATTTGGAATAAACTAGGGTGGGGGCTTTTAGCTAGCTACACTGGTAATGATATTGGAGGCTGGTTTTTTTGGGCGTTAAATGCTATGACTGATGCTGATTTGCCTAACTTCGTAATGGTTTGCTGGGGGCTATGGTGTAGCAGGAACGATTTTGTTTGAAAAAATGTTGCTTTTGATGGAGATTTGACTGTGCATAGGGTGTTAATGCATTTGGTGAATTGGAGCCGTGCGAATGAGGAACCTATTTGACGCCAAGCTGCTGACCATGTTACACACTGGACAAAACCAGCAATGGGGAGGTTGAAGTTAAATTGTGACGCTGCTTTTTTCCGTGGTAATAACGTAATAGGGTTCGGGTGGGTGCTGCGCGATGACGAAGGGAACTTCTTAGCGGCCAAGAACACTCTTCTCCCTGGGACCTTTTTAGTGAAGGAAGCGGAGGTAATAAGTATCTTATGAGGCCCTT